GCGGCAAAAAACCAAACGTGCTTGATGATCATTTATTGGATTTAAGGCCTGTACTCGTTGCACATGGTATGGATAAAGCAGTTGCTCGTGAAGGATTCTCCAAACAAGAGGACCACTAATTCCTACCTCGGCTGATATTCTCCGCACACTCGTACCTGGATTCTGCTCTACCAGTGCTAGAATTTCTTCTTCTGCTCTAGGAGTGGATACCGACCTTGGTCTTCCGGATAAATGGCACTGTTTGCTCAAGGAACCGGTATCACGCAATCTTTGGTGAATTCTTCCAAACATGCGTTGTGAAGGAATCTGGCGATTTGGATAAGCGTCAACATAAAGACGTCGCGCTTCGGTGGCGTTCCCATTAGCACGACCATACATGAAATGCATGTCTGTTAATTCTGCGTTAGAGTAACCAGCCATAGCGAAAGAAAACTTGTGCACTGAGAACAACTGTCAAATACGTACTGTTTATTTCACTAAACATCAACCAACTATTATAAGAAAATACACAACGTTTTTGCAAAATAAAAAAAGGGGCTAAAAAACATAAAACATTCCATATCTCCGCAACCGTTACTTTGCGGACCCATGTTTATTGAGACTTTTCTGCTTATTTTGGTTCATACTATTACCTCTTTAAATATTTTACACTCTTTTTTTAACACCCTGTAGAATCTGTTGAATAGATCATGTGTGTTAAGGTAATTCACAATCTCATTAATGTAAGCCATGAAAAATCTTAATTATTAAAAGAATTAATAGGAGAAATTTTAGAGAAAGGTGGTAAGAGCAATATGTATTCAGAATGATTCACATAAGCCTTCCCTTCTCAATAAATGGATAACGGAAAGGAATTTTTTTTATTGAAAAAGCCAGTTTCCACATCTGAAGTTATCGTGCGATTTGACCGATGTTACAGGAAACTATGTGCTTTTCCAAAGATGTGTGATATGTTCCATGTACAGCTTTCCTTCGGAGTCAATTGCAACGGCTGATGTCTAATCTATCAGCGTTGGTGTGAAATTTCAAACTATATACGAACTATTCGCTGATAGTAACAGAACTCCCGGCTATTGTAATTCCAAACTAATGGACCGTCACGAAACTACACAACTTGGATTTACTGCTATATTAAAGAAAACTTTTTGCGTCAACACAATTTTCCTCCCGTATATTATATTAATAATTATGCCATACATTTGTCTAATAGATCCCCCTGTTCAATTTCACTGTAAAACGGAAGTAATTCACCCGGACAACAGGCGAAGACAAACAATCGGAGAGGTTCAGAGTAAACTAAAGCAGTATCGCAGTGCATCTAATTCTTGAGCAACAAAACTTAACGGTCCTCTATACGAGTGATTAATGTCTTCCCTTCCGGCTAGACTTAATACAGTTGTTTCTGCACAAACAACTGCTTGATTACTCGATAGTTGTAACGTTCTCGATGGTAATTGGGAGATGGGATAGTTGATTGTGAGTGAAGTAATACTTGTATTATTCAACGAGGTTTTCATGTAAATTTTCTGGGACATTCAAATATCGAAGATTAAAGATTTCAAAGATAAATTTAAAATTTTAGAACGTAACAGAAGGCCGTTGCTGTCAAAGAATTCGACTGCTAGTCGTCATGCTGGTAGTGTAAATATGTGATATAGTGTGACATAAAAAGAAGAAGAAGTAACTGATACAGTGCTTGACCTCAACTTTTAGTATAAGAAGAACACGTCTACAAGTTTCTCAAAACTTCGCTTACAATTAGCGAACTTTACTCAGAAAAACATTACACCATTATCAGCGTGTCCATCACTTACAACCAGGAGATGAAGTGCGAAGATTAGCATTTTCATTATGATTGCTCGAGCAGCACGAACGATACTGCAAGTTGCAGTAGAATGGTTAGATCACCATTTCAATGGAAGGTGGATAAACAGACGCGGTTATGTTGAGTGGCCCACTAGAACGCCAGATCTGTATCCACTAGACTATCGTTTCTGAGGTCACATGTAACAAACAACAGTTTATCCAGAAGAAATAAACAATGAAGAATAATTACCACACCACAAGTGGGATTTTCCAAAACAAATTGTAGATAATGCTAGGTCAAAAGAAATTATTTGTTTTCAGGGGCGTTAGAAAGTAGTTTTTCCACATCTCTCTATAATTCTAAGCAAATTACGTTTTACACTTAAATTTTGAAAACCCAATAATTTTGTAGATATCGAACAATCAATATGAAATAGTATTCTTTCTTAATAGAATCATTGAACTTATAAACTATACAAACCGATATCATCAACATATAATGAAAAAAGGGGGCCAAGGATGGAACCCTGTGGTACCCCAGAACCAGTCTAAATTTCTACAGACCTGGAATCATGATACTCCACTTCTGTTACTTGAATAATAAATGACAAAAGTTAAGAGTAAATAAGTTAAACTAGTATGCTGAAGCTTATTTAGTAAAATACCATGATTAAGTCTCTCGAAAGCTTTAAAAAAATAGATGTAACTAACGTTAATTCGTACGTATGAAAGGAACTAATTACTATAGACCTATCGTGAATAAACCCATGTTGGTCTATAATGATTTGATTTTCAATGAGAATTTGTGTTAAATTATGTACAGCTTATTCAAACATTTCAGCAAAGTTACCTAATACGTTGCTATATTTATTGACACTTACAATTTGCTTTAGAAAAATTACAATTGACGTATTAATTGACGCCATCGAAGAGTCCTACCAAATGGCTTTTGCAGAATTAAAAAAAATCATTAGTAACTTATCGAATTTTCACATGTTTTTACTCTTTTTTGAAATTATAAAAGCTGATTCAAACAAATTAAAAAAATAACTTTTACAAAATCTATCAAAATAAATGTTAAAACAGTATTCTTCCGCACCAAAAATCTTTGTTTTGGTTTTTTCAATATTACTCTGTAAATTTCCATAAAAAGAATCACCTTAGTATTTATATCGCCAGTGCTTACGATATTTTGGTACCATTACCATATATGATAATTTTTGGTATTTATATGAAATCAGTGGTATGTAAGCCCTCGATATTCCTTGCTTTAAAAAATATTTTTAGTCGTTTTTTACGTCGTTAGGTACCAGAGGTATGTTTGATTCATTAGAATGTGATATCTAATGAAGCATTTGCGTAGCCTAAATTGTCCTTTTTAATTGAACCACTCATCTTAAAGGTGGAATCACAGATGGATGGGTTCAGTGTTTGTAACTGACTGTATCCCCACAGGATGAATATTTAAGGACGTTTTGTTCAATTAAAATGTAACGGGTGGTTACCGATTTCATATAACTGGGGATCCAATGAGTAGGATTGACTTTAGAATCTTCAACATTATATACATATACCTACTCGTGTAAACACATTTGGACACATCTGGTCCAATAATGCTTGCTGAAATAATTATGCTTGATCTTGCAGTCGTAAATTATTATTATTGGTAGCAGCTGTAATAAATTCACGTACATCATAGAAATAGTTTTGATTTCAGTACAATACTCTTCATTCTTCATAAAAAAGGTCAAGAGAGTTTAAATCTGGTGACTGGTACTAGCCCTTCTCGTCCAATCCATCGTACCTATATCCTGAACTTCATTAAGGTAATCTCGAACATTTTCTCAGAGATGAGAGGACGCATCATCGTGCCACAATCACATTTTTTTAAATAACTAATGGCATTTCTTCTTCAAAAGTCCAGGAACATCATTTCGTAGAAATTCGACATACTGAAAATCATCCCTACGAGTTGGCAAGCAGTCTTGGTCCAAACATTCAAAGACCCGTAATGACTAATGCGCTGGTACTAATGCTTGAATACGCTGTATTATGATAAGGGCACCTTTGACCCGCGTGTAATACGCGTTGTTTTGTTCATTGGGATATTCCAGGTGTGGTAGTACGAATCTCGAGTGGAAATTTCGGAAATTCACTCCAGCTTCCAATTTAAGCCTTCCACAAATCATTCACGCAAAATAATCCCACCAAAACCATATAACCAAAGACAAGGGAACCCAGATGCTACGAAAAACGCAGAGCGGTAAACGTAATTTTCACAAAAGTTTTGAAAATTTCCCAGAAATCCCCTACGAACCCGATAAAAGCAAATGGTCACGTTAAACATCATTCAAAGCGGTCGATAGTAAATACAGGCTACAAAAGATTAAAGCACAGATTAATTAAACAAAATAAAGCTTTTTCTGTCGAATGATGTACCCATTTGAGATTTTGAACTCCATGTATATATAGTTTTAGTTTACACTGCCGTCATTTGATTTAATTGGTTGGCGGTGGCAAAACCGTTCATTTGTTTTTTTTTTATTTTCCGAAAAGTTAGTGAATTCAGCAATCACACTAGATGGAATACTGGTTTAATGTAGCAACACTAGAAGGGTAAATCTTAGGGATGAAAGTAATGGATCTTTCTCTGTGGGCTCTGACAAACTCTCTGTTACATAAACAAACTCGAAACAGTCGCTGTCTCATACGGATAAAGGAACAAAGGAATATGTTCGTATATATTAGGCATTTATGACACTTGAAAACTAGTGTAAACACTATTCGGAATCACCTGGGGCTACGCGGAAAGAGAGAGCGCGAATGACGCTAGAGATTAGTCCTCTAGCAATGTAAGGGTTGTAAATACTACAACCACAATAATTTTTTTCTCGGAAACTATAAGGACTTTTTTTACGATATTGACTCCAATTTTCATGAGGCACCTATTCCCAATTTTTTTTTGATAAGTTGTGAATCACCCTGTATATCTATCGCCTAAAAATATTTCAGAATATAATTTTAATGATTTTTTAACAACAGTGTACTAATATTCACATCACTTTATAAATAATAACTAGCGTTAAATTTATATTACGTACATTAACGTCTAGAGCGGTTAAGTCTGGTGAACGAGTTGGATATTCTTTTTACAATAGTGTTTGTTGGAGATATTGATTATTGTTTTGTTTCAGCGGACAGCATCACGAGATCAAGTTTGCCATTCCTAGGCAAAGCTAAAATTAGGACGCTAAAAATGACAATAATCATAGTATTAGTCTTCTTCGTATGTTGGACACCGTATCAAGTCATGAGCATTTGGTAAGTAATAATACAAGTTTTTTTTTTAATTAAATTAAACAACTTAGTGTATTTGCGAAGACAAGAAAGTCATTTAACTTAAAGGTTAACTAACAATGTTTATCTACAACCGTGCAGTACTTAAGTAAAGTTACACTCATTTTATTGTAAAAATATACAGAATAATACAAAGAAATTATATAAGAAAATGAACGAAAATAAATATCTTAAAACATGTCAATGTTTATGTCTGCTAACCTGAATTATTATTGTCGAGTTGGTAACATTTTCAATTTTAATACGTGATACAGGACGGATGTGTTAGTAGAGAAGTTCATCGAGTGTCCTGCTGCTGTTGATTCGTCAATGTCAATCGAATTTTCAACACCACTGATTTTCTTCGCTAGTCCAATCTTATTTTTCCCCGAATTTACCACATATCCCTGTGCTACGTCCGTTTGAAACAGTGTCATGTGTTGGTTTTAAAACCTGACAATTTTAAGTAGAAAGCTATCTGGCTTGGCATTTTTCCAATGGAATTTATTGCAACAATTCCTTTCTTATAGAATAAAAACAGTCGATTGAGTGTTACTCGATATCACATTTATTATGTAATATAATCAAAAAATAAATTATCAAGAATATACTTAAACAAATGAAACAACATATCAGCACCAACTACAATAAATTACTGATAATAATAAATCAGAGGCAAATAGAGACTTTATATTCTACTTCTTGTCACACAAGTTTTTTATTCGATTTTCCAAAACCAATTTGTTTAGACAAGAAAGCAGTTAAGACCGATTTCAAAGGAATAAATGTCTAGTGCGATTTTTATATAAACTTCTTCAAATTTTCTTGACAATCGATGAAATTTTCCTTTACTTACTCTGTTAAATTATCAATTTCTTTCTAAATATAAGCTAAACTTTTCAGGAACATGGAAAACATAAAACTTTGCTACTTTTGCTGTCAAAACGTTGCGATCAACATCGTCACGTTGAAACTTCTTAAATACCCAAAGAAACCAGTGTTTGTTAAAGGTTCGCGCGTTTGGTGGTGTTTTATATTCTGTAAATTTTATATTTCCGCATGAAATTTCATCAATCACCGGTATTTTATAACCGTTAAGTGAGGGTGGTGTGAACAGTCGTTTTATGTACCTTAAACTTTCAATAGAACCAGCAAGTTCAATAATAAAATCATATTTCCGTCGAATCAATCAAGTTCAGCACATACTAACGTTTCAGGAATAATTGAGATATAAAAATTATCGAACCACTCTTTAAGGAATTATATCAAAACATATTATTCCATACACTGAATGAAATTATGATCCACCTAAAAAATTACACATTTGTTTGTATGAAATTTTTGGCGTGAGATTAATTTAATTAATTTCGTTTAAGGCATTCCAAACAGGGACACCCTGTATAATACAACTGGGCTACATAAAAAATTGAAACGTTCTCCCAGTCACGTTTTAAGGAGGATTTACGATGAATTTCTGGCTTCATTAAGTCCCAGGTCATCACTGGCCTATTTTATTAAAAAAGTTTTTGTTGAAGAACGACTTTGTAACTTTTGTTCGATCGTTCGGTTTCCTTATGATGTACTAACAGTGGAAAAGCACGGAAATTGAATATTACGCACATCAATCATATTTTACCTCTGGGATATACGGATACAAACAGTTGACGACACGTCGGGAACAAACACGTCTGATACAATCGCCGTAACAATTGAAAAACGTGAGGCTTGTTTTGGTTCTGACATCGGGCAATCCTAGAAGGATTCAGAATTGTCACCCAATTAAATTGTCAGTATGTCCTCGCTTAGTTGTTCTCGTAAATAGAATGGTCAGCTAACTTGAATCGTCCTAGAACTGTTCTCTGTCGGAACCATAACAAATCTATGAACGAGATGTAACTGACATGAATTTATTTAAAATCATTGGGTTGAATGTCTTCCGAATGTGATGGATTTGTCATTATGCTGAGGTGTGCGTGTTGTTTTTTTGGAGAAGGTTAGATACAGGGTGTGCCAATATTTCTGTACATGGAACTACCATAGTTTCTTGCGGCCAAAATAAGTATATTTAACTAAACCTTAGGATAACGGTAAATTCAGTTAAATATGATATTTCGATAGCAGGAAACTATGATTGCTCCATTATAGAATAAGAACTAAGAAGTGTAGATACAAATAAACCAATGCCAAACAGGAAAAAGGGGTAATTTATGGTTTTTTAGAAAATTGACGGCTAAATTAGAATTATTCACGAAATAACTAATGTTAAGCATGACTGTTACAGTTCGATATAGGTACCCAGAAGAACCCTGTGGTTTCATCTCGATCTAGCGAACCGTTTCTTTGTTTCTTCAGTCAAACTGTTGAAAAAAATTAAATAGTCGCGTTTTTCGAGCTTAAACACTTCATATACATGATTAAAATGAAAAAAAAAGTTTCTGAGGTTTTCTCACATTTACCGCAAATAACGTTTAAATTGTTGAATATAAAAAACATATTTTTTTTTTCAGAGGAAAAAGGATAATTTTGAAAAAATCTGCACAAAAATCAATTAAAAATTTGTCTCAAAAAACGGTATGAATCGGGGTCGAAATCTAGTTTGGGTCGTCATGTCATCAACTAATTTTAATTTAATTAAAAGTTGATGAACAGAAGCATAGGACGAAAAAGTCGAATCGTGCTGGATTTTGTTTTCTTCAATGACCGGAAGGTTTCGAAAATTTTTCGATTTTTTTTTTCATCAATTTAATTAAACGTTATTTGGGGTAAAAATGTGAGAAAACCTAAAAAAAAAATTTTTTCCATTTTAATCATGATTATGTGTTTAAGCTCAAAAAACGTGACCCATTAATTTTTTTCAAAAGCTTGACTGTTTGAAACGAAGAAACGGTTCACTAGATCGAGATGGAACTTCACAGGGTTCTTCTGGGTATATCGAACTATAAAAGTCATGCTTGAGATTAGTCATTTCGTGAATATTTCTAATTTAGCCGTCAATTTTCGAAAAAACCATAAATTACCTTTTTTTCTGTTTTCTATAATTCGTGTAAAAGACGAAAACAATTTTTTCAAAAAGTTACAAAATTTATTCCAGTTTTCGAAACTGCTCTTCAATTATCTGTACGACCATGCCGAGATATCGATGATTGAAGACAAAAAACGTTAAAAGTCCGATATTTCGATGAAAAATGGTCGTGTCGAAATTTTAAAAAAGGAAATTGGAGCTGAATATACACAAGCTATCTGGTCCATGCAATGGCTTAGCTGAAAAAAATTTTCCAACTCTGTGGACTAAGAAAAAAAAGAAAATTTTCAAAATTATTAAAGAAAATTTAGAAAGATCTAAATCTTAGAGCTTCAAAATTATATTTTTTAATTCCCGATAAGACCATTTTTCAGCTAAATAAAATCTTTAAAAAATCACTGAAAAATTTCGGAAAATCTTTTAACCCTTTAATTTTTTGCATTAGTGTATGTAAATGTAAAACAAGAGACACGAAGTAAAGTAGCTTAAATAACGGTATAAAAATATCTCAGAATCATATAACAATATATGTATACCTACATAGACATAGACATAGACACCAAAGTCATTGAGGTTCGGAGTAACACTCTTCAATTTGATTAATACTTGAACAGGGGGATTCAATTTCAGAATAATTGATATAATCATTTGATGAACCGAATATCCCGTTTCTAAATTAGTACCGTAATGTTTAACTTCGAAAACATGTAAATGTTGAGCATAAATTCAACGGATATGGAAATTAGTAACTTACAGTATATCTTCGCATATTAGATTCCTTATTATTCAAAATCTTATATCAGTACCTCAGAGCTAAACTGTATTAACTCCCATTTAGAGAGGAGAGCTGTTTATAAAATTTAATCTCAATTAGTTGTACATAGCGCTTTTATTGTTTTTTGTCAGATGGCTAAAAGAGATTAGCTGAGTCTATACATACTAGTTTTATTTAAACAGGTTTAAGTTAATACTGTTTTTTTGTAAAAAAGTGGAGTTAATACAGTTTAGCTCGGAGGTACAGAATAGAAAGGTAACGGAATTTGACTTCCGTCTTTCAGATACATTACTCACTCTAGGCAGATACTGACCATCAACAAACAATGTAGCTGAAAAAATATAGGGCTGCAGACTTTGTTTTAGTAAAATTAAAAATAAATGTTTCCAAAAGTAAGACAAACGATAAATAAATTAAAAATCTTAAAGAAAAACTGATCTCTGATGCCATACCTTTATTAACCCTGCTACAATCGCTGTCACTGTTACTGACACTACCAGTGGATTACAGTTTACTCGACTTAAATATCCAAATTCCGCTCTTCTTTCTGTACGTGATTTATACACCTTTGCCAATCTTCTGCACTTGCAATTGTTATTTTAAGCAGTTGTTCCAAAGATACAGTTCCAAATATCTATATCTACTATAGAGATGTGTCATGAAAAGGTCTCACTTTATTAGGGCTATCTTCTAGCAGAAAATTACTTACAGGGATATTCAGGAACAACTGCCTTCATTTGTGCCAGTTTCCATTTATGAGTCTTATTTCTGTATACAACGCTTAAATGTCAAAACAGGAGGAAAAGTGATGGAGGTTATTTCGTTATGACGAGAAAGAAGTAGACACGATTCGAATATTTGTTTTGCAAATAATGCGGGCTTGCAATGGTGACACCGAATTGCTTATATATGTTTGATTTTGGAATACCTATATAATCCAAAAGCATTTCTGTTAATGATATGTGGATGGAATATAGAGTACACCTGCATTTTTCGGATATGTAGTTGTGTACTACCTGGTATGTCGTATGTCTACTATGTCAAGGAACAAATTATACCTACTTGCAGTACTCTAGCGGAAATTAAACTGGAAAGTGCAAAAACTTTAAATACATTAAAGAGCTAGCGTGTGATCTACGCGTCCCAAAGGATTAAAGAACGACAGCGTTACATACAGGGCGACTCTGT